AGACTATTGGGGGGGGGGGGGGGGGCACGACCGCCCCTCATTGGCTACGCCACTGATATATACATGCACTAATTTACAAAATAATTTATAAAGCCATGTTGAGTTGGCGTTAATGTCTGCCTTGTCTATGGACTATATACTGTACACTAGAATCTAAATAAAAAAAGCATTATACGCCTTGATAGTTAATGTCATTATAACTTTAATAGCGTTTTCTTAGTGTAACATTTTAGTGTAACATTTTAGACATCTTCTTGTGCGTCTTACGTATAAAGTTTAAGACGCGCACAAGATGTATTATATATGTTCAATCAGACAAACTATCGGTTCGTACTGGTAGTGCGCCGCTCTATTAAAACTTAAAATAATCGATCTTAAATGCTTTTTAAATTCCATAATTCAAAACTGTGCTCGTCTTTTCCATAAATGCTCCGTGCTCGTCTTTTCCACAAATGCCCGTCTTTTAGTGTCCGTGCTGACCGTGCACGCGTGGCCGTGTACGCGTTTTCCAATATACAGGTACCGCTTCAAGTTGGCACAGTTGTAGCACTCTTTTCAAGTTTAGGGCCACTGTTGAGAGGTTCTTTCAATTAATTAATATACAGGGATATAAAAAAAAGCAATCCAAATTTGGTATGTTATTGTGCGTTAGGTCTTTACCTTTAGTTTAGGCATTTACCTTTCTGTGTCAGAGGCTTCCGAGGTTGGTAGCTATTAAAGTGACTGGTCAAAATCACATTTATTTATTTGTTATTTATATGAGCTCGCCTGCAGGCTAAAATTATAACATTGTCTATAATATACATGTAAATACAAATTAAAGACAAACTCAGTTAATACCAATTACAGTGTGGGTCCTCCCTATTATTGGCATTAATTAAGCAAGTTTACAAAAAATAATAAAAGTAAAATAAAAATAAAAAGCACTAAACAACAACAAAGAAAACAAAAAAATAACAAAGCAAAAAACTCGAAGTCAAATAACAGGATACAGGGCTATATAGTGAGGCCTCGTACCATTTTTTCGGTCTTGTCTAAAAGTAAACACACAATCACATTACAAAGTTGGATTATAGGGAAAATTCCCATCATGCTGGGGAGAGGCATGGTACGTATGGGTACATGCATAACGGATCTCTTCAATTAAATGTTAAATATTAAATAAACTTGGTTGCCGCGGCTTACTTCATTATAAACTGATTTCACCAATCAAAGTATTTTTGTCTACACAGGAAATCCGGCTATTCGTGAGCCCCTACGGAAAAGATAATATTTTTAAGGAGCTTATCACATAACTAGCCCGGATCGCTTCATATACATTATATACATGTTTAAAAGATTTCTTGAACTGTTGAAGTACAAAATAGTGGGATACAATTAACATTCAGTAGTACCTTAACTTACAGCGTATACGGTTCGATTATATGTCAGAATATTTTTAAGATAACGATCTTGGACATCTTGTAAGTTGTATAATTGTAGGCCGTATGTTGTGTTGATACAAGTTCACGATACGACACTTGAAAGGTTATTTTTGGTTTGTCAAGCATGTAAATTTATCAATGCATGTAAACCATGAATGATGGATGTTTCGTAACATATATATACTTAGAGGAGTTTAATCGGTTATTTGGCGGCTATCCAAAATTATAGGTGGGCTCTTCGGTAAAAGTAATTACCGTTAATAATTAATCTTGCTATACAGGGTGTCTCAAAAAAAACCCCAAACCATTGAAATAACGTATTGTTAAAATTTGAAGCCCAGCACCAAGCTGAAAGCAAAGATGCGTAAAATATTGACAAGGGTGCATATATTAAATATTGACTTATTAAGAAATTAAAATATCGTTGTATCTTGGGAATTTAAAGCAGTTTCTCAAACAGTTCTTTATGCATAAAATTTACTTATGACAAGCGTTGATGCACTTGTCAGTTCAGCAGAGTGCTGAGGCATTCAAATTCTAACAATACGTTATTTCAATAGCTAGTTTGGGGTTTTTTTTTTGGACACCCTGTATATTTATTTATGGAAAGATTGGGGAACCTCGATTATTTAGGCGAAAATATAGCTGTAGTTATACGCATCAGGTATATAATATGATCCGAAAATCAAACGCAATAAAATCAGCGTTCAAGTTACAAGTTACAAGTTACAGTGTATTTTCAACAAGGGAAATTAATTTCCAAGATTTTAAATGTTAACATCATGTTAATAACACGTATTTAATTAAGGGGGTTTAATAAATCTTTTCTTCCATGGTACATAAAATTTAACACGCATGCATATTATGGTTGTGACTGTCGCCACCCAGGACAGGGTGTGACCGCGTCCCGCGTTTGAAATAGAATAACCGATGAAAATTGTTACAATAAAAATTTAAATGTTCCGACAGAGAGTGAAAAAGTACAAAAATGTTCCACTATTACAAAACAGAATGAAGTACAATAAAGAAATCATTGTATTGTATATAAAACTTCATTGTTCTCACATGCATACAATTTCAGAACACCAGTGGCAGTGAGATAATAATTAAATAAAAATATAAAATCAAAGCAGATTCAAATATACATCGTCCTGGCTGTGTTGATACGGCAAGTTATAACCTTTCCATGTCTTGACTTGTATACAACGTTAACATTTCACGCAACCATGGTTGGTGGGATCCAGCTTATTGGCAAGCGTATCTCCAAAATCGGTTTAAAATTGTCCCATTTTCAAACGAGACTTGCTTGAAACGTTAGATAGCAACCAGGGCGAATGTTTTACCATCAGAGAGTTTGTTTGCCACCCTCACATGCTCTGTATATATTTGATCACGTGATTTGATCACTGACAATGAACATGAACATGTACTCAACATGTACACGAACCTTTTACGGAACATGTACGCATGAACATGAACTGAACATGTACGCGTACCTTTGCACAAGGATTACCATTTATCTTCACTAGTCCTCATTAGTCACCATACGTATCTTCAAACATCGTTCTTACTTTGACTAGTCCTCATTAGTCATCATACGTATCTTCAAACATCGCTCTTATTTTGACACAAAACTGATGCAAAGGAAATCCCATGACATTGAAGTAATCTCCAGATATGCTTTTCACAAATGATCCGCCAAGGCCCGTTGACTGTATTCCATAGATGAAAATAGTTAAAGAAACTAACTGCTCGGAGGATCAAATGCTAATTTTATAATATATATAATATATATATATATATATATATATATATATATATATATATATATATATATATATATATATATATATATATATACGTACTATTTAAAACACGAGAAGGAGTGTTTTAGATATGATAAAACACGAGTTCGAGTGTTTTGAATAGCTTAAAATACGACTACAAAAGAATACAATTATATAATCATACTAATTATATTAGGATGAAGAATTATATAAAGAATATACTAATGAAGATGAGTTTTATCAGATATAAAGTCACTCCACGTGACATATTATGGCTGACATGATTTGCCACAAGGTTTAAGTTTATGAATTTTTAATGAGTATTTTAAATAGTACTTCAAAAACTCGTATAAGATGAGTCGTTTTTGAAGCTATTTAAACCACTTGTCGTCGTGTTTTATCACATATAAAACACTCCGCTACGCGTAGTCGTGTTTTCTATGTGATAAAACACTCCTACGCGTGCTTTAAATAGTACATATCATCATGTTATTACTCAAATTACTGTATCTCATTTTATCTTTTTTGCTTTATCATGAAAAATAGCACCCCCCCTCCCCGCATCCCCAGTAAATCCATCTCTGATCGCAGCACTGGTGAACTACTAGTCCAGCTCATGGGAACAGCTCCTTATTCCGTATTTTAAAAAGGATATCCGCCTGCCTTGTCTCTGCGAAATAGAAGAAATAAAAATCAATTGAATTTACCTGAATATAAAAACTTCATGTACATGGGCAAAGGAAGCATTATCATGCCTCGAGTTAGCTGTTATTTTGCTATCCACCAGATCTTATAGATTTTGTTGATTAATAAAGGGAAATGGCAATATAAATTTTTATTTTCTCATTTGCTTAGTTCTCGAAATATTTTCACTTGAAGTAATGAGATGTCCGCCAGTAGTATACCCCGGCCACCCCCCCCCCCCCACATGGCGCCGGAAGTAATTAGTATTCAGGTGGAGTTAGATAGCACCGGAAGTGACGTCATAAGGTGCGAGCGTATGCTCGAGCGGGGTATGTGCACTGAGCTATACTATATTACTGGAGGAAGTGCTCGGCAAAAAAGTGTCCGCAAAAACATGGCGGATTTTCGCGCCATATGACGCCATTTCCATGACAACTGGTTCCTCCGGCTCATGAAATTACCGCTGACCAGGCTCAATTCTGAGCCCGCTACAATTTTCACCCCCCCCCCTGGTTTTATCAAAAAAATTTTGGCTTTTCGAGGTTTTTGCAGTAAAATCTCGTTGTTTTTTTACACTTTTTCGACTTTTGACCATTTGTTAAAAGATTTAAAAGTCGTACACGCTATTCTCACCCGCGAAAGACAACAAACCAATATGAAAAGCCCGAGAAATTTAGGCAAAGGCGATATTTGATGGCAGTCGGCAGAGCTCACAGGTAAATATTTCACATACTATTGATATGTTTTTATTTTTAATTTTTAAAAGATAATGGGAGTAAATGATAGAATACAATCCATTAGATAACAGGCTCTTTGTATAGTATAACGTATTATTTCCCCCCATGTGTTCAAAGTCTTGTCGTAAAAAAAATACAGAAACTTTGTTTTTATATTCAAATTAAGTTTTTTTGTTGTTTTTTTTCTTACTTTACAAGCTTTGTTAAATATTTGTTGGCTGGCCATGGTTTTTGTTAAACAAATTTTGTTTTATTTAATTCAGTTAAATCAGTTTTTTCCCTCAAATCCTTTGGGTTTTCTATATAGACTGATGACTGAAATCTGACATGCTTGATTTTATGCAATTGTATGTGCTAAATGAGTGTATGTACAGGTGTAAAGGCATGAAACAATGTGCTTCTATCTATATTCTTTGTGTTTATATATACTAGAGTCTGTGGTTATTATAGTATGCATAATCTAGGGTGCCAGTAGAAGCTAGCCTAGGGGTGCCAGATTAGCTCAGGATACTGTGGGCAACTTATCTGGTAATATGATTTCTACCTAGATTTCTGACTAATGACATGTTGAATTGAGGATTCTTGAGTCACTAGAAATAGGATTGTACTTCCTGAATGTTGGGTACCAATCACAAGTGTAGGTATAAGCAAAGTATCTAGATTATAGGCTTTATAGGGTTGCACTGGATCTCATTATACAGGCTAGAACTGAGAAAGTCACACATGCTAGTCAGACATCAAGTCAGAAACAATTTAATTGGTAGATAATGTCACTTCCAGTCCATGCAGGTGGATTTATTTGGGGTTTTGTTCATTTCAGTCCTCTCTCTGTGCACCCCTGTATCAGATGCAACCACCTGAAACTACGAAATCAATGAACTTCAACATTTCAAGTGAAAGACCTTTAGTATTATTTTTCAGGTAGTTGCATGATACATTCAAGCCTTTAAATAGTGTGGTGGCTTAAGCTGCTTTTCTCATTCCCTTTCTTCACTTTCTTACTCTTTTGTCTCTTAGTGAAAACTTTATTTTACAACATTTTAATTATATAATCTCTTTTTGGTCTAATTGCAGAATTATTTGATGGTGAGACAGTTCATAGTTCAACCTCTTTATTAAAGAATTATCAATTATTAGAAATAATTAATTTTGTTAGCAGTGATAAAGTTATCCAGACAAGTTATTATTGTGACTTTGTAGCCAGATGGGTATGATTTTGCTTTGGCTGTTCAGCATTTTGATCCATTGTGATATGGCTTGTGGTACCTGTGAATGATTTTACCTGCAAAATGAATGACAGAATATCAGAATGTAACATTACATTAAGATACATCCTTACACTGCAATTATATAATTATGTAGTAGATGCATGTTCAGTGTGAAGAATATGGTCTTTGACACTCTTTGTATATAATAAACATGCTATTGTGTAATGGAAATGATCAAATAAAGTTATTTCTGCAACAGCCCTTGCATTCAAACACCTTATTTGTATTTTTCTTGTTCATGCTTGAGCATCAGCCTCAGGATAAGCAAATTCCATTGGATTTGTGAGGGCACTTGAACTATATATTGGGTCATTACATGAATAACAGAAAAGATTCAGACTCCCACAGCCTGTACTACAAGTTACAGCTGTGACAGTGTAGAGGGGGGATCCACAAGTAAAATGTGCTGGAATATCCAAGGGGGGGGGGGGTGATACAAATAAAAAAATGATGTTTAATATGACTTAAAATTATTAAGCAATTGAGTGCACCAGCACTTTCCCCTTAACAAGTAAAATTATCTGGTATTGGAGTGGGTAATATAACAAAGTAGGGCATAGTGTTCCTTAATTAATTACTTATAATAAAGGTTTAAATGCTGATTTATTTTGAAAGTGTCAGAGTGGCAACTGGCAGGGTACTGAAAAGGTAGGTTGTGCACATGCATCCTAAATAAATACTGCTACAAAAACCTGGTAGTTAACAGTTAAAACCGATCACGGATTTCATTATTTCAAAGTATATAAAACAAAACAAGTCGGGAAAAGGATTTTGAAACCAAGATATGAGACAAAATTACAGTATGAGAATGAGTTTGAATATAAAGAACAAAAAAGGAGGATACAAAACTACTGTGATATTGTTGAAATTAGCAATATTACACATTTGCTGTTTATAACGGTAGTTTTTGACATAATGTTTATGTATTTATGCTTTTCCATCGAAATGGCAACTGAGTTAAATTTGCCTGAAGCAACCCAAGCTTTGGTAAGGTAGAATTTAAAAAAAGTAAAAGTTAATCTTACCTGAAAACAAGAAATATAATAATCCTCTCGAGTGAATTGTTTCATCTACAAGCAGACTAAAAACTTAAAACCAACACACTTTTTCCTCGACTGCAAAAATATCAAGATTTTCAGTCGAAACTCGAAAATTATGATAAAAATTTGTGCAAAAACCAGGGGGGTGAAGGATTTTATTTCAAGCGTAGGATCGTGGTTGGTCAGTGGTAATTGCCATGAGCCTGAGGAACCAATTGGTGTCAGCAAACATGAAAATCCGCCATGCTTTTGGCAACACTTTTTTGACTGACAAGAGATAGGAGCACCTCCTCCAGTAATATTATGGCTCAGTGATTCAACCACGCTTTAATATATATTCAGCTGACACGTGACCCAGCATGTGACTATGTCAACCAATAAAATATGCTCCTTGATTGATGATGTCATTTCATGAAAGGGAGACCTGTTCGAGGGTCTACAGGGGAGGGGGCGGGGTAGCCAGCCCGGATACTCGAACTGGCTCGCATCCCTGAGATGAATTTCACTTTACACGAAACTTTTGTTCGTTTACATGGAAAAATTCTAGCCCTACATGAAGGGCTAGCTCTTTGTGTTCTATTTTTTTGGCGTAAACAACTCCATATATGGAAGTTGGTTCCTTATATGGGAGTTTTTTGTGCATTCTGAATTATTCTAATTATTTGCGCATAGGCTGGATCGATATCGCAAATACCGAATACCGATATACCGCCATCAGAATACCGGTAAATACCGGTATTCCGGTATTTTTAACGTGTTTTTTTTTAAGCCAAACTGAAGTGCTGACCGTCAAGAAAAATCAATTTTTGACAAAATATTAGTGTGGCACATACTGTTATTAGTGCAAATGTCACAAGATTCGCATTATCAAGCTATGTTAACAATTAAACAGCGCTAAGCGGCAATTATTAGTAGGCCGTCGATTGGGTGTCGAAGTGTTGAATTATTCAGAAAAATATTCGTTTTGTATATAAATTCAGATGGTGTTTCAGTAAGCTGCTAATAGTTATAAACGTAAAAAACGTTGCATTTTTAAAACTAACACATAAACAAGTTAGCAAGCATGTAAAAAAACTTGAAAAGCCAGGAAAGGTTTTTGCTACTTTGCAAATGCTAGTACTTCCACCTTCCAAAATCAAAGTTTTCTTTTTTGTCGAAATTTTCCTTTAAAAATTTCGCCATTTTTATATTTCCGATTAAGGCGATTTAATAAACAAGACGTCTGGTATTGCTAAACCAAAGCCGCTAGAACTGTAAGAACAAAATCATGCATCTGTGAGTATTAACTTTGCTTTCTAAACGTGATTGTAAGCAAGTTTGACTTGAAAGAGCGTTTCATTTCGGTATTAGGCAGCAAAATACCGAAATGTCGGTATATCGGTATTTTTAAATTGTCAATATCACCAAACCGGTATCTAAACAAATACCGGTATATCAGATATATCCGGGATATCGATCCAGCCTATTTGCGCATGCGTATTTGCTAAATTTCCAGCCCTACTAGGAGGGCTAGCCCTCCCTGTTGCGTTTATATGGAAAAGTGGAAAACTACCCAGCTCGTTTACCCGAGGTCTCGGGTCACATGAAGCGGGACCTCGGTTAGGCGGGCCAGCTCGGTTCTCATATAAACGCAAAATGAAATTTAGTAGGAAATATTAACAAAGATAGGATCCTGCCTAAACCGAGCTAGCTCGGGCACCCGAGCTGGCTCTCCTCATATAAATAGCCCCTAAGCCTAAGGCGGTATTTTTACTGCTTCATGCGCGATATACCAAGTCACGTAAATAATAGTGTTAGCTATCTATTTGTTTTAAATCGTCAGGCTTTTTGCGTTGGCTGGTGCATTTGGATCCTTAGCTTATTGTTGACAAATCACTTGCAGTACTTTTGCCCTTGTATTTGGATTGCCTAATGGCGCAATAAGAATAAAAATACCACCGTTCGATTCAGCGTAGGAATTGTGACAAATTCTGTCAATTTTGTGGGAAATATGCTATCTAATAGGCATTTTTCGTAATCATTCCCCCCCCCCTGTTGACAACAATTTTGGAAAGTTTGTCCGTAAAATTTTTTTGACAACTCGGGCACAATCTGAAAAAGCCGGGCAAATTTCTTTCCGCCCCCCTAATTTTTTCCTTCCAGTACGCCCCATGCATGACCCTACTGTTGGTCTTCTTGCTCAAGTTGTTATTTTAGCTGAAGTACTTTCAGAAGACAGTAGGTTCAACTTGTCATGTGCATATATGCACTTTTGGCAAGAAAAATTTTGAGTAAAAGCGCATTAAAACTAAGTAGAATATTCTACAATGAATACTATATCTGTTTCTGTAAACTTTGCCTTGAAACGAGCTCTCATTTCAGAGATAATGTGCTTTAAAATCAGTGTATTGAATTATGCTGTTACTTGGCACATGCAAATTCTGAAACTTCATGACAGAGATTTGAAAAGCTTCCAAAATCTCTTGATTGCTTCATAAATCCCCATAAAAATTTTAAATCAATAAAGCACATCATAAAGTCAGTGTACGCTCATTTTCTAAGAAGTACTCATCGATTACTTGAAGGAAAAGTTTAAAATAGGTCAGGACAGTAGTTTACAAAATGCTGGTCTTCTCTGAAATGCCTTCTTTTGCAGGAAGCCATTTAATTTATGTACTTTCCAAAATTTGTAATTTAGTAGCTTTTTTGGTCTCATTGTTCACTTATTTATCATGGAATTACTTCACTTGAGCTCTTTTAATAATATCTGCAAGATACTTTGCTATTTGGTGAAATGAAAGCTATTTTTAGCAGTTTATCTTTTGAAAACTGCATGCGCAACAAAGTGTCAACATTAGGGCCATTTATACGAGACAAAATAAGTCGCGACTTACATAATATGCGTCTTACATAAGATGTGTCTTACATAAGACGCGAGCTTGACCATTTATACCAGCCCGTCTTACATAAGACGCAAGTGTATCGTATAAATGGTTCGCGTTTTTGTTCGCGTCTTATTTTTCACAACATTGCTTTTAGCCTCGCTTTCGTGTTGCATATTTTGTGTTGTCACTAGCAACATAAGCTACATGCAGTTTAATTCAAGATGGCTCGCGTTAGTAAACGCCAAAGATGACGACGTCTGTTGCAAAGAAAGAAGCTTTACCACTGTTATATATTTATGCTTAAGAATTGTTCTCCTTTGGTGAAAACCATGTTGTTTATTCGAGTTTTTAAAATGGGTATAACAGCTAAAAAGTATGTAAGAAGTCCAAGAAACGTGGGGAGAAATCGGTCAAGAGAATGGTGTGACAGGGATATGATGGAAATGGGCGAGGCAGAGTTCATCGCAAATTTTCGTCTTTCACGTTCAGCCTTTCGAAAACTATGTAAAAAATAGGTCCGCGAATTGAAAAGGAAGAAACCTTTGCGAAAAACACTATTTCAGTGGAGAGAAGAACAGCTCTGACGTTGTATTATCTGGGGCAAGGTGTAAGTTACAGAGCAGTAGCAAACCAATTTGGCGTTGCACTTCCGACTGTGTGTTGTATAGGTTATAAAACCACAAATATGATTGTGGATTTAATGACACCGCAATATATCAAATTTCCTAAAACTGATGTTGATATTGCAGCTACAATGAAAACTTTTGAAACAAAACCTTTACCTAATTGTGTTGGAGCTATAGATGGAAGTCACATTAAAGTTGTACGGCCAAACGAATGTGCAACCGATTATTATAACAGGAAGGGTTATTATTCTATTCTGGTTCAAGGCATCCATGATGCTCGGATGATGAGAAGATCAGGGTTCTATAAGCGAGTTCTTGCTAAAAGGTAAGTGTAAATTATTATTTTTTATTATATAAAGTATAGTGCTTTATAGGAGATGTCGACCACTGATAAAAGTGATAATCTCACATGTGAGATTATTTATGATAATCTCACATGTGAAAATTATCGCTTTTTAATTGTCGCTTTTCTGTAAAAATGATCGCTTTTCAAAGACTGTCCTTTATATAATAAACAGAAAAATACATGGGTGCTTAGAAATACCAGATTTTTTTTTCATGTTGAACATGATATCTCACTTGTTCACTTGTGAGATATCATGTTTAACACTCGAAATAAATCTGGTATTCTGACATATTACAGTGCTTCCAGTACAGTGTTTTTGTGTCTAAGCCCCTGTTCACCTGGAGGTAGGGTGACCCTAGCAGAAGGGTGACCCCAGCAAGTGGGACAAAAATAGCAAGCAGGTCAAAAATAGCAAGTATTTACATGAGGTAGGGTTACCCTACCTATGCATAGTTTTTAAGTTTTGAACTAGATAGATTACTGAAATACTGTTGGTTATGTTTCAAATATCTCAACAAAACATACTATGATGTACCTGTGGTAGTTCTCGGAGATAGTGCCTATCCAAGGCTACCATGGTTGTTGACACCGTATGCTGGAACAAACCTCGCTTCAGTCCAAGCAAGGTTTAACTTTGCTCACAGCGTATAATTATTGAACATGCTTTCGGACAATTGAAAGGAAGATTTTGCCTCCTGTCCAAACAGTTGGACGTAGCAACATCCAGTGTTGAGCACATTGTTATTGCATGTTGCACACTGCACAATTTTTGTTTGAAAGAAAAAGAATTATTTCCAGAAGAGTGGATGCAGGAACTGCAAAATATAGCACAGGATGCACAAGTTGTGGAAGCTGATGATCTTGATGCCTTTGGAGATGATGTTACCAGATGGGGACTGGATGCACTCAAGATCTTTTCTTACAGTGTGTATAACTATAATGTGTACTATTATATAGTAAAGCAAGTAGTGCACAAATCAATCAATACAATAAATAAGTAAATTTATTTCAATTATACAACAGCAATTATATTAATATATTTAATTTACAATGAACAATATTTTAATAAATTAAATTTATTAATTAACAATAAATTTACCACTTTGTGTACATGGTCAATGGCATATGATATATTACAAACAAATATGCAAAAATTATAACTCGAGTGACTTCTTCATTAACAAGGAGATTTTTTGAGCTTAGGGATAATAGTTTTGTGGCATAGGTAATTGAGGTTGCTGTGGAACCCGATGCATTTGCAGCATCATCTGCATCAAATCTCGTTGGAACTGCATGTTAGCTTCTCTGGTAGCCTTTTCAGCTTCAAGCCTCTGTGTTTCAAGTTGCATCTATTGGTTTATTCGTTTTTCCTCTAACACAACCATTTGGTCAACAAAATATTTTTCACTCTCTGCCATGATTTTTGCCTCAGTTTGCTTTTTCACCAATTTTGATTTTCCAGGCTGGAACTTAACAACAACCTTGGAATCTGTTCTCGGCTTCTTTTGAACAGGTTCATCACCCACACACTCGTCAACCTTGGAATCCATTTTTGACTTCTTTTGAACAGGTTGATCACCTGCATTCTCAACATTCATCACTTCAGAGGTATTTTCAACATCATTTAATGTAGTCCAGTTCTATTAATGAAATAATCGACTTTATTTAATCTATCTATTACTCTTGTCAGACACTTGGGGGGGGGGGGGCTAGAGCATAATTGACAAGAGCGCTTATATATTTTCCCATAAATTAGCCTGTGTGGTAAGCCTTCACTTGGGTTAATATATTTTCCATGTTTTAAAACAAAATTCTCAAACGAATTGCTACAAAAGTGCAAGTCCACATGTGCCAAATATTACAGGGAACACAGTCATAAAAATACGTAATACAGTATAATTGTACACTGTTCCTAAATGAAGTTAGTTTTATGTTATCTGTATTTGTTAAAATATAAACAATATTCTTGCAATATACCGTAGTTTACATTTCTGCATGGAAAGTGATATATATTATTATATATATATATATATATACATATTAATATTAAAGCCGGTGATTAAAATTTCTGTGATTCCCAAAGGGTTCCAACATTAGACTGCAGCATTACATGCAAATTTCCTTCAGTGTACCATCTTTACCTTTATAGCATTAAATTAGACAATTTTTAAGAGTCTTGGAATCAAGAAATGGCACTTCTGAAAGAAACTTTAAATTTTCTAAATTTTCTACCCAGTCACACTAGAGGTCAACGTTTTCTTGCCTTTACCAGACCTCCCGATTTTTGGAGATGTCAAGTTGGAATGTCTGATATTATATTACATGGTGTGGTACTCTTGATGGTGCTTTAGTAGCTATCAGGTAGGTTTACTTGTATATATTGGGTCATGACATCCCTTATAGCTTCACCTTCCCTGGTAGTGCAAGAATAAACTGGATCAGGGACATTTTGGTATTCAGTCTCCATCGATCTGTTTCTTGCAACTTGACTTCTCACAAGTTCAATCAATGGTATCATTATGAAGTTCACAAAAGTTATGGAGTACAAAACATGATAAAACAACTTTTGGAATTGTTTCATGTTTTAGGTCCATTTTTCTTGTGAGAATCGACCACTGCGCTTTCAAACAACCAAATGCGCACTCTATGGGGTTTCGGGCAGATCTCAACATGTTATTCAAAAACTCATTAATAATTCATGAAGCAATTATCAAAATTCAAAATGGAGACTTGGAGTATACTTTAAATGCTTTTAGGAAACTTGAGGTGTATAGTTTTTTAATAGTGTTTCATTTATTAAAATGTTGAAGTTACCTTCAGAATTCAGTGCATACATTTCACACAATTCGAAACTTGAATTACAGTCAGAAGGATCTGGGGATCGGGGGATTTTTTGAACACAATTTTAGTCATGGGAGTAGGAAATTTGACTACAGAGTTTCAAAAAGTTTGAATGCCCAAGGATATACCCAGGACCACAGAGAGGGGGGGATTACCCTGATGCCCAACCTTAATAGGGCCCCAACTTGAGTGCAAAAGCGTAAAATTGGGGAGGTTCTTTAAATTGGTCACATCATTTTTGAAATTGAGGGCCCCTTATTATACCTCCACAGGCAGTCTAGCTAAGGTTAAAAATAATGATGTCATGCAGCCCCAAGGATGATTTCCCCTGGTCAAATTCTCTTGGTGGCCCTGGGTATGCCCAGGGGAATGTTAACAGTATAAATTGATTGCCGCATTATGCTCCATTGTATGTTTGTCAAATTGTCAGTGGCACAAATAATTACTGTAAATAAGTACATATACACTTCATTTGTAAGGTACATGTAGTCATACTTGAGAAAATTGTGTAATATAAGTGTTGCCAGCATTATCTTTACAACTATGAAATGGACCAACCCCAGTCAGCATTCTATATTTTTTCCCTGCCACATATTTCCGCCAGCATTTTCTGCGAAAAAAATTCCCCGCCAGAAGCGGGAAAAAACTCGACATTATCTTTACACCTTCCGCCAACCGCCATCTACTGATGGAATAAAAATCACACTAGAAACCTTTCTTTTAAAGATGATACGAATGAGTCGGTCAGAGTCAGACATGACAGACAATCAATCTTGGCTTGGAAATTTATAAACAAGTTATTCACTGTATTATACATGGAAGTGCAACAATAAATATATAAATTGCAGTTATTGCTTTAATAAAACGTTATAACTGCATAATATATAAATGAAACGTAATATTATAAATAAAGGCAATATGAAACACAAGCAATATTGGATGATTATTGCAAGTAACAGTATATATAAATCCCAACGTGAATGTGATCTTGGCTCATTAATATGTGATCACTGCGTCTGCATTTTCATAACAGAAATGGTAACCTGGCGTCACTTTTCCCTATTCTTTTGATCACTTTACTGGAGTTGCCACCTGTAGGTGGTCGCTCACAAAGCACAGGAGCTTTGTGTTTTTTTAGCCCTTTCTTCTTGTCACCATTGATGTAGAGATTTGCAACCTCTTTGATCATCCTGTCTCCCTGCAAGACATTCGGTAGACACCAGTCCAGCTTGGTACAGAGTGACAAAGTGTCGTTACTTTGACCTCCAGCTTGCTGTTGGGATTTCATTGTTGAGTAATAAGACTCTACAATCGATTCTGGGCCATCCTTAGCCAACGCGATATCAATTACTAGACGTCTGTCTAGTAATTATATAGACCTCCTTTCCAAACATTGTATACACATCTTCATCAGTGTATATGGATTTGTACACAGCCTCTTCGTTTAGTGTCACAACATGTTCCCTTTCGTCACCATTAAACACTGCGACAAAGCATTTCTCACTGCGACAAAGCATTTCTTTTCTTTCTTGACAACATAGAACCAATTAACCATTGTTTCTTTCATATTCCATAAGATATTCTTTAATGTTTGCTTAAGCCTTTGGTGTATCACATGACTTAGTCTGGAATCAATGTCTAGTGATCCTTCCTTGATTGCCGCTGCAACATGCTCCTGAGAGCATACATACTCCATGATTTTCTTAAAATATTCTGCCCCAAATTCTTCAAGTTTGGCCTCTGAAATTGATGGCTTGCCATTCTGTCGTGTTCCAACCAGTAAGCAGAAAAGACATTCTAGATCTATAGCTGTGAAATACTTGCACATGTCCGGCACACAGTTTATGTATCGAGATTCTAGGGATTGGATCACATCAACAATAAATTGATGTAAATCTGCCTCACAATCTTCCAACTCCCTTGCCTTCCGCTCATCATGTGTTTCATTGTGGGACTCCAGCAACCACCGGGTCACGAGACACTGATCTTTGAACTTCTGTTCTTCCATGATATCTTTAATGTTGGCCTTGAGAACCTTCATGCTTCCTGGTGGGCTTGCAATACTGACATGTTCCAGTTGTTCAAGAAACTTCTTTACAGATGGAAACCAAATACATATTTTCCAGCATGGACAGCTCAGGCTTTGAAGCTTCACCATCAAATCGATGACAATTCTCATGACATCAGTGACACAACACAAGTCAATGACAAAATCCTCGCCAAGAATCTTGTATTCTCGCACTTCACTGTAGCCAAAAGCTCTGAAGGCTTGGACGTAAGCTGCAAAACTTTGGATAATAATTTCAAATTCTTGAAATTGAGATGACCAAAATCGTGTAATGCAGCTACCTTTGGTCATTCTTAGCTCGAGATCATTCTGCTTGGAAAGGGCAATTGCACTGCTTAACATCTTTCCACGTTGAAACATGGTATGAATGTTTTTTGCCCTTGTAACAATGCACTTGAGATATAAGCTTGAGGATCCACACTTCTCGTCACGGATATCAAGGATGGCCAAGTTTATCCAATGCGACAGATCCTAAACAATTGCAGAGAAAACTGGATGAACTGGTACATTTAGTTCATTGTGCAGTGTCTCTCTGAATTCTTGTGCCTGATACTGACCATCACAACAAGTTCCTTGCCATGATGTTTTCTTGATTATTTGCTTTGCCAACTGATCAGCACAACCGCCGGACACACTCCCTGGATTACCGTCGTCATCAGTACTGTAAACAACAGATGAGTTTACAGGAATGGCAACTCGCTTGCCATTAACCATAGGGCAGATCATAACAGCCTGGTTGGAGATTCGTTGGGGAGTGCTCTTATCAGCTGTTATATAAAAGTGTGGTGGGAATGATGTGGATGGTAATGGTCTTGTGAAAAATCTGCCAGTTTGCAAGTCAATCCAAACATTCATTGTTGTGAGTATCTTGTTGAAGTGGTTGCGAGAGTGTCCCATGTCTCCAAGATCGCTGCCAGTGGAAATATGGGCAGCAATCTCCATTTTCAAAATGCAAAGCGGCTGACTTTGACTTGATAACACTCCAAGCGATTCCAATAAAGTTCTCGGTAACTCTTATACCTCTAGCTGATCGCTTCAGAATAGCTGCGTTGTGCTGAAGTGCATCAAAATGTAATTGAGAATGTTCCCCAGTGCAACTTACATGCTGTTTTACACATCTCTTCACCTCATACCATTGCTGGTTTCCACCAGCCATAATGTTTTCTGTCTTCTCAGGTGAAAGGAGAAGACCTGATGAAGGCGACCCCAAGTACTTCCCGATACCTCGTAATGTAATCCTAGCTGGACTGTCCTGCTTTGAGTCTTGACGTAAAGTTCAATCTGTCGGATAAGAGCCTGTAAGGCTGTAACAGACTTCGCAACGAAGAACTGATGGAGTCCTGTCAGATGAATTACCTGCATCAAATCAGATTTCAGGAACAGCTTCAGTAAGATCAATTATGTTCTTTATATCCTTCCACTCATTGGAATTCTGAAATTGCGGCAAGTTTGACTGTCGAGGAAATTGATTAACATCTGCATGTGTTGAACTTGTGAGTTTAAGTTGCTTCACAGTTTCAATCAATTGGTCGACTTTTGCATTTAATAAAGCCAAGTTTTCATGAGCAACTTCAGCCGTTAAACCTTGCAAAGATTTAACATTATCACCAGCTTTAACTGCTAAATTATCTTCTTCTGGCACTTCTTCTGGTATGCCAGGGATTGCGTCCATTGGTTGCATCATTTCTGTTGTGTCCCAGGGAGGGAACAAAGTGTCAACCAAGGAATACGAAATTATAAAAAGGCTTTTAATTCGTACAACCATGGTGAAAAATCTAAGGCTTTACTCCACTCCAAATGTTATTTAAATAAATTGTGTTTCCTCTCCAAATAACTTGTTTACTCCAGCTCTAAGTTTACTCCAGCTCTAAGTTCAAATATGGCCGCCAAAACAAATGTGTCCGCGTTTTATATGCCCTCATGGAGGCCTGGGCCGAGTTCAATCTAAAGTTCTTACATCAAGTACATCACATTCTCACACTGGGTTGCCATTTGTTCTGCCACCGCAAGCAGGGCAGTGCCTTTATTATTTACCTATCTGTTTATAAAAAACATGATTAACAAATCCCGGATAACAGTTCAGTTCATAATCTAAACCAAAAACTATATACAACTAAAAAAAACCAAAAAAAACTCTAGTATCCACCAATCTGGGAGGGTGGGTGGGTAACTGCATACGATGTGCAAAAAACTAAAAGATGCCAAAGTCACTTATCACGTGACTTTATACAACTCATGTGACCTAACACAGGGCACCCCAGCATGAGAAACCCGTTTCTCGCTTATTTCGTAAACTCAGACAGCGAGAAACTCAAATTCTCACACTGGGTTGCCATTTGTTCTGCCACCGCAAGTTAAAAGCATAGTGGTTTGACTACCGTTCTTACTATATCGTTCGTACTATATCCTTCATAAGCCTAAGCTCTGTGAAACTCGTAATAGGGTGTTATGTGTCTCTTTAATGTACATGTTCATAGATTTCTCAGATCTCCATCCCCCATGTCGCTGGATCAGACGATCAGGTATACCCCAGGCGGCTGCTTCGGATGTACCACCAGAACGTAAGCTGTGTAAGCCATAAGCAGATGGATTCAAACCAATACTAGATATCTGCATCTTGAATAGTTCCAGAGCTCTGCTGTAACTCAAGGGGGATTTTCTCAGTTGCATTCCATTAGATGTGTGAGAAATCTTTCTGAACAGTTTATCCTGTTGGCTGTGTTTCCCCATTCATAGAAATTTCTCAAGCAACTTAACTGGACATGATATTTTGCCTGAGCGGGCAACAAGAATCCAAGATCCTTCCCGGTACTGGTCATTCTTCCGCTTGACCAGAAATATTTTCATGTGATCATTTTCCATTGCAATGTCTTGCCTCTCTAACTTAGACAAGTCATCCCATCTCAGAAATGCACTAAATCCCAAAGTGATTAATGTTGCTATCTGCAGCTGTCCCAGATTCCCGTCACCAAACTTAACAATGATAGCTTTCACATGTTTGGCCTCCAGTGGCTGTTTCCTATTCACAGGTTTCAGCCCCACAATTCGCCGACTAGCTTCAATCATCTGCTTAACCAGTGTGTGTTCTGTTGGGGATTTCTTTCCCGCCTTCTTATGTGCCCAAGCAATCGCATATACTGCCGAATGAATAGTGGACATTGTCCTAGCTGTTCGTAAAAGGAATGCCACATACAGAGCTATCTCTTGACCAGTTGCGGGTAGAGAACAGAGATCTTTGCTTTCTGCCCAGGTATGCCAACGTTGGAAGGAATCCTGATATTTACGCACTGTTAGAGGGGCTCGATCACGTAGGAGAATTCCTGGTATGTCACCTGCTAACGAACGCAACTCTGGGTCTTTTAGGCATATACCTTTCCACATTTTTCCTTTTCTCGATTCGGCATTTTTCCTGGATACATGACCTATAATATAGGGAGAGTCGTGTTATGAACTGTTATGTTCTTACCGACTACGCTGAGAAATGCCACTCACAGGCGATCTGACATCTACTGCCCCAACCATGTTCTGAACACCAAAGTGTTTTCGCAGGCCAGCATGCAATACCTCTCACAGGCCATGCTCCATGTGCAATGCTTCTCGCAGGTTAAGTTGCAATACCTCTCACAGGTCATGCTCTATGTTGTAATGCCTCTCACAGGCTAACTCCTCATGCAATGCCTCTCACAGGCTAACTCCTCATGCAATGCCTCTCACAGGCTTACTCCTTATTCAATGCCTCTCACAGGCTAAGAAGTGATCTGTCTCCCAGGCTAATGAGTCTGTGC